CTATTACTGCACATTGTTGTGCGTTATGTAGTAGCCAAAGATACACCTCGAGAAATGCTACTTTTTTGTAAGGAAGCTTTGAAAGAGTATGTATCTTTATGTGAGAATATATATGGGCTTCAATTCTATTCCTATAACGTGCATTGTTTACTACACATAATAGATGATGTTCTCGAACTTGGTAGTTTAGATTCTTACAGTGCATTTAGTTATGAAAATAGCATGCCGGAATTTCGAAAATTAATTCGTAAACCAGGCTTGGCACTTCAACAGTATTATAAAAGAATAAAAGAACTGAACGAATTCTCTTTCAAGCCTTTAGAAATTAATATGAACGTGCGTCCATCTTTAGAACATCAGGAGGGTCCTGTTTCTGAAGAATTTGATGAAAATCATTGTAGACAGTTTAAAAAGGTAGAACGTGGAAAACTAACCTTATGCAATGATGTACGAAATGGATGCTGCATTCTTAATGATAAAAGAATTGGAATAATTAGAAACATCTTACTGGTTGGTAATGAAGTTTTCTTAATGTTTCAAGAATTTCTCCTAAAAGAAACATTATACGACGTTCCTATAAATTCCGAAGATGTTGGAGTGTACCTCTGTAAAAATTTGTCCAATACGGTTCAAGCTATTTTTTTGAACGATGTGCAGAAAAAGTGCTATAAAATGCCACATTGGAGCCATAAAGTGGGAGAAGAGGAGCTGCCACTACAAAACGAATGGATTTGTTCTACACTAATTAGCGAAAAAGAGATGCTGCTGTGACTCATTGTTCCATATAGGAAGCATAATATATTTTGTGGCATGTATTATCTTGTAAGTTCCTTTAAAAATGAAAATTATTACATTTTTGCCTCATGATAAATGGTCTGTTTGGCATCCGCATGTCTTCATATTTCATGAATCATAACGCACAGAGCAGGAATTTTGCCAAAAAAGTTTTCTAGGTTTCTAAATGATTTTAGAATAAAAACTTAAATTGTGATGAAATCTTTTTAAAGCAATATTCATATTCACTAAGGCAAAGTCTACAAAAATATTACTTCAACTTATTTTTGTAATGAACAAAAAGAAAGACTCGGAAGTCCTATATTCATTAAATTGGGAAACATTTTCATTTTCACGTGTGTTTACTTTTTCATCGCATCCCTTCTCTAAAATTGCATTTATCATTTTCTATTTGGTGTTTAAATGTTTTCTGTAATTGCATGCTCAATAGAATATAAGATTATTGCCACATAACTTTCAGATAATAGATACTTCAGCAACTATTTAAATTGAAATTTTTTACTATAATTTTTATTAAAGATAAGCTTTTTCATATGTCTTTAATTTTTCAATAGAAAAGAAGTTTTCTTTTTTATTTTATCAAAGTTGCAGTTTGATATCTTGTCCCTTTAACAGAAAATACTTTTTTAAATACACATTAAAATGAACATGAAAATGGAAAATCTCTAAATCAACGGGTCGAGTTTTGGGCTTTTTACTCAATTCTAAAGAATATATATTATAGACAAAATAAAAACAAAATAAAATGTGTACAAAAAAAATATTTTTTTTTTGTTAAATATGTTGTGTGGACAATCAAGTTTTATGGTTCCGTTAAATTTATTTGCTTAAATTTAGTTGTATATTAAACAAAAAATTGCTTTTTCTAAATTATCGCAAAATATTGAAAAAGGGGGTTTTTATTTTACAAAATTTTGTAACTTTTAAACATTATTTTTTAATGACTATATGAAAAGGGACAGTAACTATTACTTTACTTTTTTCTTTTACTACGAAGTTGAAGTTCACAACGTTTATCATCAACGTTCAAAAAACTGAATATATTTTGAAGTCGAAAGAAAAATATTTTCTATTGTCCACAAATTTTTCTCTTTAAAATTGTCGATAAAAGTTGTAAAAACTTTTTTCAATCAAATTTAAAGAAAATTTTAATAAAAAAATATTTTTCTCTTAAATTGTGGTTCAAAAAAGTTGTGGGCTTCAGGTTAGTCTTATACTCTGGTATTCAAAAGTTTTATCTTAAGGAAGTTCTCTCCCTCAAACGTCAGTCAAATCAATGCCCATTTAAGTTTTCATTTGTATCACTCAACGCTTGGCAACGTTGGATTATATTTCCCCCGTTCCGTTTCGTGTCGTCTGCTATTGTTTGATTTATTTTCGTTAAATAATAATAATAATAATAATTTATTATTTTAAAAATCTTAATTTTTTATAAGCAAATTCAAATTATTATTCATTATTATGAATCTTTGAAGAATATACTATTATATGTATATACTACTTATATTACTTTCAAATTTCGCGCTTTTTCTATACCTAACCTACAAGACGCAACGTTGCCAAGCGTTGTGCTAAGTAATTTCTGATTGTCAAATTACGGTGTTTTTTTAGACAAAATAATTAATTGTGAGTCTCCTAAGCCAGGTCTGATCAATTTTATTAAAAGTAAGTGAACATTGGCTATTAAACTTTATGTATATAAAGTTCCAGTAATATCTTTTCGTCAGATTTTTCACAATTTGAGATTTCAGACCAAAAAATTCAATTTCCCATAAGAACCCGTGTTAAATGTGAAAAGAGAAAATTATTTATATCTTTTGTCAAAATCCACCTAGACATCTAAAAATTTAACTACATCTTCTTTAAACCATTATCTATCAGTTTATCAAGTTTGATAATTAACTCTTAGTCATTTCTGTTTGCGAGAGAACTTCCTTAAAGTGCATGTACTTCTTATTTTCAGTTAAATTTAATTTTGATTATTTTAAAGGTGTTTTTTTTCATTTAGTAATTTGTGATTTGTAATATAATTTCATGTCAACTTTAATGCTTTATAATTATTATTTTCTATTTCTTTGAGACCACTAACTTTGTTTTTTTTCGAACTAATCAATAGATCATGGAAAAGTCTAATGAAAGAAACATGTTCAAGAAGGATGTTTCAAGGGTATCGAGCACTGGAAGAAAGATCATAACTCCCAAAAATATTCTTACTACTGAGTCTGAAGATGAAAGGCCTACGAAAAAAAAGAAAAGCAATTGTTCAATTCATAAAAAATTGGAAGATTTAAAAAAGTTGGCGGAAACAATGAAGAATAATGTAGCATCAAAGAAACCTGAAGCAGTTGTAATCAAGTAAGAAAATATGGATTATATCATATAACATTTACAAATAAAAATTATTACATTTATATAAAAAGTTAATTATTTAATTAAAGTATCAACTAAGTTAAACTTTTAGGCAATGTCAATTTTCCATACTTTATTATAAGATCTTACTAAAATTTAGTAATATATTTTTCAGGAAATCGGTAACAAATTCCTCTATTCAGTTAAAACCAGTTTCTCAAAATCCAAAGTCGAATCCAAACAATAAAAGAAAATCGAAACCTGAAGATTCCCTATCACCTAAGCCTTCGACTTCGTTTGCTAATGAGCAAAATACTTCAATTGACTCCGCTACTCCGATGAAGCCGCATTCTCTCGAACCGAAATCCGATGGAAACAACAATAATAAATTAAATGACGTAGCTTTATCATCATCGCAACCATCACCTTTGTCTGTTAATAAAAAGAAAACTGCTAACGAATTGTAAGTTTAAATTTAGTTATTCATAATATAAGTTTACTTTTCTTACACAACCTGGAAACCTTAAAAACCATTTAAATTTCAATAGTCAAATATTCCAGAGTCATATAATTTATTTCATATTGTCAGAATGAATTCTAGATATAGTCGTGAGAAATAATTAATTTATTTAATATTAAAAAAAAATTTTTAATTTAAAAAATAACAGGAAAATCTAATAATTTTTCCAATTTTACAATTAAACATATTTTATAATCATAGTAAAAAGGGTGGTTATTTATTTTAATTATTTTATTTAATTTAGGTCAAAAACACACGCTCTTACGATATCAAAAGAAACGGATAATGATGAATTCGGTCGCGAGAAGCAGTTTTCAAACCTTCAGTCGGATATGCTTGAAACTGACGATGTGCAGGATGTTCCGGTTTTACAATTCTCTCCAGGAATGTTAAATGATTTTAATTTCCAGATTACTGTTTCTGAGCAGTTAACGTGAGTAAACTCTATTTTCTCCATTTTCTATTATGATTTTTTAACTCAGAACTAAAGAAGGGATAGGTTTTGCTAATTAATATTTAACACTAACAGTTCGCTTATTAAAAATAATTAAAAGTGACATTTTCAAGTCCATAAAGTTTTTCGCTTGTAAACATTATTCCATTTCTAAAATATTTGTATTTGCAGAAGAATCGAAAATCGATTGGAAATCATTGAGAAACAGAATACTCAAATTTTAGAATTGCATCAATCGCATTTTGGTAGGAATCAACATTCTCAAAGATTGTATGAACCACTAACAGGATTCCCAATAACCACAACTGATGAATTTTTTGAGTTAGAGAAAAATGATGTTCAATTAAAAAAGATAGTAAGTTTTTTTCTAAATTTTTTAAATTAGTAAAAAAACAAAAAATATAACTAATTGTGTATTATTCTTTACTTATGTTTTTGCTATACAGTAATGAATTTGATTTTCTTAAAAGAAATAAAATATGAACTAAAATTGTTGGGTTCATAATAATGTTCAATTTACATTATTTTTTAAAAATATTTTTCTATTGAGATTTTTTACTGGTGTAATTTAAATAAATAATATTATTTTATCAATAAATAATTTACAAGTCTGATTAAATAGCTTCATTTAAATAAGCTTTTATGCAAAGCAACGTAGATGTCCGTTGATGCGGAAATTTTGAAAAATACTTTTAAATTTAAAATGGGTCAAAAAATCAGAATTTTTTTTATTAATATTGTAATCTTCTTCAAGACAGCAATGATAACAAATTAAAAATTAGTTTGAATTATTAAAAAAAATTTGTAAGCCAAATTTGTTAATACTAATTTCTTTATACTTATAGGAAAATCATTTGTTGAGCTTGGGAGGCTCTAAATTAAAAGAATTTTTAAGTTGCGGATTAAAGCAAATAATGACTGATGAACTTGTTTCGAAGTTTACGTGGAACCAAACGCAAGACACATATGGAATTGGAAATACCAAACTATTTAATGCTTTTTATAGTTAGTATTTATATGTAAATTATTTTCTTTTTGCTCATTTCATTACAATATTAATGTCCACGTAATTTTTAAACTACATAAAAAAAACCCTTTATTTTACAGACGCTGCCCGTAGTTGCCATTTGTTTGCTGGTCCAGAAAATAAGGAAACTTTTAAAATGAATATGCAGGATGTATTAAAAAGCACAAAACAGAGGTTTAGGAATAAATTTAAGAAAGGAAAAAAATCAAATTCAACGGGTACCTTGCAAGAAAAAATATCAGAAATTGAAAGTTTACTACACGATTACCAAAATGATGGTGATAATGGAGAAGAGAGCGGTGTAGATGAACGTGAGGTTTTCGATGACGAAGTTGGTTTAGATGAAGATGCCGATGATGAGGGAGATTAAATGACAATATCCTTTTAACCGGGTTTTTATTACTTGCTTATAGTAATTATTTTTTGTTTCATTTTTTATTATTACCTTCAAAGGGAAAAATTTTATTCTATTGTTTTTATCTAATGAGTAAAGTGTAAAACATTTGTCTCGTTTCATTTATGAACTGTATTTTGTGAGACGCAAGCCAGCAGTTACTTTCGAACAGCCAGTTTAATAATTATTTAATTTTTTTATATATTAATAGAAAATAAAATTATTTAAACAAGTTTTATAAAAATAATTGAACTGGCGGCTAGAAAATAATGGCTATAGTTTCAAGTTTATTCGTGTTGCTTTGTAATTGTGTAAACAAGTTTAATTTAACAGGAAATATTTTATTGTTCTCATCTAATGTATAAAAAGTTTAAAATTTTGTCCGTTTTTAGTTATACACAGCGTTGACTTTTGTAATTCTGCTTCAATGAAATTATCCAGACACGAAATATAAAAATAAATTTTCTTTTACAGAATTGATGCGATTTAATTATTTGACTGAATTGGAGTAAAGGCGCTATTTGGAGGAAAAGAAATTTTTACAATATTTCCATGTTTACAAATTATTATAACTATTTTCATAAATATATTGCAGTAAACAATAATGTTTCTATAATGTTCTCTTTGTTGTAAAAAATAGAATATAACAAGTCGTAATAATTAAAAAGTCCAAAAAAATATTTTTTTCAAAAAATTTGTGTCCGTACAAGCGACTTTACTCCGATTTACACTAAACAATAAAAAAATTAAATTTTAATAATTTAAGTTACCAATACATTGTACGGACGATGGGCCGCCCATCGTGCGCCAGACGACGGTCTAGCTATATAGCAAGCAATGGCGCGTACATTACGCTGCTCAATTGTCACCACGTTGGTCCGATCAATCAGCCCACGTGCTGACATATGAGCAGCGATCTGGCTGACATTTTGTTATCTGGGTAATGTTATTTCAAATCTATTTCCTCAATCTGTAACTCCGAAAAGTAAGTCAAAAACTGGTACATCACTTCCAAAATTTATGATTACAAAAAGAAATTTTCAACCAGACTACATCTATTGGGATGATCCAAATGAGTTAGTTGATCGTTTAAGACTACTTACTGCATCACAAGCAGCTGGTAATCCAAGTCATAATAATGAAATTATGTCCATTATTGAAGAATTACGTGAAGCTAAAATTATATATTAGAAGTTGTTTTATCAACTACATATCAGTTTTAAAATGAGCATTGATGTATTCGGACATCCCCTCAATAGAGGAGGAACTGTAGCAGCAAAACGAGGACCACCTGGACCACCTGGAGTTGGTTTTAAAGTAGATCCAGAAGACAATTATGACTGTGGAGGGAAAAGAATTTGTAACCTTGCAAAAGCTAAAGCAGAGGGCGACGCAGTTAATTTATTACTTACTCAACGTATGATAGAGAACGAAGTGCGACTAGTATATCAAGTCACGTCTTCATTAAGGTTAGACATTGACAACAGTAATGTATTGTTAAAAATTCTTGAAGCTTCGGTAACAGATAAACTACAAAATCTTGAAAAACAAATAAATGAAAATTTTCAAGACATTGATAACAGTAATGTGTTATTAAAAACTCTTGAAGACTCTATAGGAGAAAAATTAAAAAATCTTGAAAGACAAATTAATCAAGATTTATCATATAGAAAAGCAGAAATTATTGGTGAAATTGATGCTCGTTTAAGAGTTCTTGAAAATGAAACGAAAACCCTTGAAAAACAAACAAAGAAAAATATATTGGATACTGACAACAGTAATGTATTATTAAAAACTCTTGAAGACTCTATTGGAGAAAAATTAAACAATCTTGAAAGACAAATAAATCAAGATTTATCATATCGAAACGTTGAAATTATTGGTGAACTAGATACTCGTATGAGAGTTCTTGAAAATGAAACGAAAACTCTTGTAATACAAACAAAGAAAAATGTATTGGAGACTGACAGTGGTAATGTGCTGTTAAAAACTCTTGAAGGCTCATTGTCAGAAAAATTAAACAATCTTGAAAGACAAATAAATCAAGATTTATCATATCGAAACGCTGAAATTATTGGTGAACTAGATACTCGTATGAGAGTTCTGGAAAATGAAACGAAAAATTTTGAAATACAAACAAAGAAAAATGTATTGGAGACTGACAGTGGTAATGTGCTGTTAAAAACTCTTGAAGGCTCATTGTCAGAAAAATCAAACAATCTTGAAAGACAAATAAATCAAGATTTATCATATCGAAACGTTGAAATTATTGGTGAACTAGATACTCGTATGAGAGTTCTTGAAAATGAAACGAAAACTCTTGTAATACAAACAAAGAAAAATGTATTGGAGACTGACAGTGGTAATGTGCTGTTAAAAACTCTTGAAGGCTCATTGTCAGAAAAATTTAACAATCTTGAAAGACAAATAAATCAAGATTTATCATATCGAAACGCTGAAATTATTGGTGAACTAGATACTCGTATGAGAGTTCTTGAAAATGAAACGAAAACTCTTGAAATACAAACAAAGAAAAATTTATTGGAGACAGACAACGGTAATGTGCTGTTAAGAACTCTTGAAGGCTCCGTGTCTGAAAAATTAAACAATCTTGAAAAACAATTAAATCAAGATTTATCATATAAAAATGCTGAAATTATTGGTCAACTGGACAGTCGTTTGAGAGCTCTTGAAAATGAATGACAAAAAGTTGACAGTAGTGAATGAACTTCACACACAAGCTCGAAAAAATTATCCTCGACGTCGAGTTGAAATGCGTGACATTGATGATACTTGGCAAGCAGATTTGGTTGAAATGATACCATATTCCAAAGTTAATAAAGGATTCAAGTACTTACTTACAGTTATAGATATATTTTCCAAGTACGCTTGGGTTGTTCCTGTAAAGAATAAAACTGGAAAAGATGTGACTGATGCAATGAAATCTATATTTGCAAAAGGACGTAGTCCAAAAAATTTGCATTGTGATAAGGGAAAAGAATTTTATAATTCACAATTTGAGGCTTTAATGGAATTGAGAAAAATTAATTTTTATTCCACCTATAGTAACCTAAAAGCATCCATCGTGGAACGTTTTAACCGAACACTCAAAAGGAAAATGTGGATTCAGTTTAGTTTCAGAGGAAATTACAAGTGGTGTGATATATTACCTAATCTCATTTCCAAGTATAATGATACAAAACATCGCACAATTGGAATGAAACCCAAAGATGTCACTGGAGATCATGTTGAAACTTTGAAAGAGCGATTCTTCAAACTCAGAAAAATACCTTTCAGAAAATCAAAATTTAAAATTGGAGACAAAGTTCGAGTTAGCAAGTATAAAAATGTGTATGAGAAGGGTTACACACCGAATTGGACAACTGAAATATTTACTATTGATAAAGTTAAACAAACTCGACCTGTGACTTACTTGCTAAAGGACTACCAAGATCAACAAATTAGCGGAGGATTCTATGAAGAGGAACTTCTTAAAGTGAAATATTCCGATGTATATCTTGTTGAAAAAGTACTCAAGAGGCGTGGAAATAAAATTTTTGTCAAGTGGTTAGGCTTCGATAGTACTCATAATAGTTGGATAGATAAAACAGACTAATGTTAAAACAAAAAAAAAAGAATCATTAATGAATCATTAATGAATCATTAATGAATCAATAATGGATCATTAATGAATCAATAATGAATCATTAATGAATCATTAATGAATCAATAATGAATCAATAATGAATCAACAATGAATCATTAATGAATCAATAATGAATCGATAATGAATCATTAATGAATCAACAATGAAATAATATTAACTAACTGTTAAAACTAATTTTAAGCTTCGATATGTATTAATTACTTTTAAATTTTTTAAAAATTGTAATATTTTGTTAGGAATAAATGAATAAAATTAAATGTATCTGGTAAAACTGTCTATTTATTTTGTAACAATTTTTATATTTACAAATTTTCACACACATACATTATAAGCTTAATCTCTTTCCTCTATTCTATAATGTCCCCAAGCAAGAGTATCATAGCTATCTGGTAATAAATATCGTTTGTCGTCCATTGGACTTAAAGCAACTTTAAGTTGTTTAACAGTTTCAACTTTATGAAGTCGTGATCGAATTATATGTTGAGTTTTTGTCTGAATTGCAAAATTTTGTAGACAGTCAGTATAATCATTGAAATTGATATATTTTTTTACAACTAACGATCTAACTCCCTTAGCTTTCTTTGTAAAATCCTGACCATTTACACGAATACTATACATCTTACTCCTTAAACCAACAAATTCTGTAATTATTTTTCCACTACATTCATCTTTCATAAGTCCAAGTACTTTGTTGTTGGCTTGAGGAATATTATAAATATTATCCTTTGGATAATCCGACGTATCAAACTTATGAATATCCTCCTTCATATCTACATAAATATCAGCACACTTTATTTCATAAATTAAACTATCGGTATCTGTATACATCGAGTACTGCAAAACCAATGTAAATTGGTTTGTTTATCAAAATTTCGGTTTTTCTTAGTTCAATTGCAACCAGATTTTCACAGAAAATTGACCGACTGTGAAAATTTGGTTTAGATATCAGAGCCTCAGCTCCATAGCGACCCTCCCATTTAGTTACAAGTTTTACATCGACGTGTTTGCGTACATTTTCCATGGTTTTTCCATAAACGGCATTATTCATGAGCTTAAACAGATTTTTTTCAAATTCATTTGTCGCTTTAGCTCTTTTTGCAGTATTAAAGTCAATATAAGGCTTAAGCCACGTTGATTGGTTAAATTGCATAACTCTGTGAATTTTTACCAACTTGAGTCCATTAGCAAGAACTTGTTTTAATACTCTATAATGGATAATGTACTTGCGCTTAGGATTCAATGTAGTTAAAAGCTTTGCTTGTTTTGATTCCGATGGTGGATTTGAGTGTTCTGAGCAGAATGGAAAATCACTGTGACTGTTGTGCAATTCTATTGGATAATCTAAATCTACTTCTAAAATGTAGCCAAAAGGTGAATCATCTGATATA